ATATTTTTTTTTTTTTTTTTCCTTTTATCTAATAATTTATTGTATTTTGATCTGATCTATTCATTTTATGTTTATAATCATTAGAAAATCTGTTATATTTTTCAGATTTCTTTGCTCAATTGTTTGATTACCATTTTATAAGGTTCCATCGTTGCATCATTTAGGACATCCAATGCTGGATTGAGTACTCTTTGACCATGTTTGACTGAGCTTAAAACTTACTTCCTAGAAATGTAAGTTTTATTTGTAAAAAAGTGACTTCTACAAAAAGAAACTTGAAATTAACTTTTACTTGTTTGAGGTTGGCCAATCATGCTCTTAGTCTGTTGTCAACAAGAATTGCCATTGTTGGTATTTTGTTTCTGTTTTTGAATTGTTTTGTGCTAACTGGATCACAATTTTCAAGTGTTTTTAAATACTGGAAAAATATGAGTCAGATGACTTGCTCAGGCAAAGAGATAGCATCCTAAGATTTTTTTTTTCCATTATTGCCCTTGGCCCATATATATTTGGTATTCTCACTTCCAATTGTGGGACTTATGACAGTGTGTGTGATGTGTTCAATAGCAAATGTTGTGATGAATATACGAGTAAAATGTGTTTTGTATTCCATATTAAGTAATTTAGCAACATGTTTGTGAAATTTTTTTGTTATATTAAAGTTGTGAACCCTACGAAATGTGTGGTCACTAATAGGGTATAAGCAAGAAAAATTAAGGTTGTTGTGGAATTTACTGGAAAAAATAGAGTTTGACTAATAAGTAATTTTAAGCTTTGCCAAAAAGATGCTCTGAGATTTAAGGACACTTGTAGACAACACTTAAAGAGGATGCATTAGGTTGCCACCAACAAGATTGACTTGACTAGGTAAATTATTATGAAGAATGTCAATTTTCATCTGCCACCTTACAAAAAAATGGTTTGTTTTTGCATATTTTTAAGTAGACATTGACTCCCCTAAAAGTTACCTGAATTTACACAGGTCATAATGTATATGGTTTGACTAATTACCTTTCGAAAATAGTTCGCAGTCAATATACAAACCCCAATTTTATGTAATCAACATATGTTTGTCTTCAATATTTTAAGCTGTATTTTTTGTACAATTCGTCTTCCCTTTAGTAATCAACAAACTATATTTGTTGTGTTGTGCTAAATCACTCGAAAGTTCTTCACATTTGTTACTATTAATGTAATTGATCTTTTTCGTTTATATTGTTATGTAAAACAATGGGTTCTAATTGTCTACCATTCATTTCTCTTCTATTTATAACTCAAACCAACATTGATAACTAACTAAACAATCTTGCTACATGTACATGGTTGGTTGACAAATTGTCAAGATTTAATTGGATGTTGAACAAAGATTACAGTTCAATTAGCCAATGTAGTGTTGCCACCTGTACTTCTACAAATAGGGATGACAAAAAAACCCCATCCCGCCCCACCTCAAATGGGGCAAAAAACCCGCATCGAACGGGTTGGGGGGACGGGGCAGGGCGGGGTGTGAAGATTAAAATAAAAAAGAAAAGAAAAGAATAAAAATAATTTTATTTCTAGATAATTTACCCGCTAAAGACCCATTTAAAATTTTTATTTTATTCTCTAATTATGACATAACTCGAAATTTTGAAAATGTAAAAAATATATATATATAACAATAATAAATAAAAGAAATTAAACGAGGCAAAAAGTTGGGCAGGGCGGTTGGGATTTTGGTGAGACAGGACGGCCCTCGCCCCGTTGTCATCTCTATATGCAAAAAACCATATATTTTATATGATTCATCAATTATTTAAATCGCTATCAAAATTATGTATAAAATGGTCAAATTTTATTTTCATCCATATACTTTATATGATTCAACAATTTTAATTACTTACTTGCACATTCTTTGAAATTCAAATTTACTAGAAGTGGACAATTGTAATTTAATGTGTTTGGCAGCCATTTAAAGAATTAATTTAAAAATGGAAATGGGCAAAAGACAATTACACCATTACATCAAACAATTAAATTCAAACTTTTATTTGAGTCCTCTTAAAACCACTGAGGTGAGTATCCGGTTGTAAATTTTATGGCCTTGTGGGATTAGTCGAAGTGTGCATAAGTTGGCCTAGATATCCACGGTTATTAAAAAAAAAAAAATTAATCAAAAGTGCAAACTAAACATATTAATATACAAATAAACATGTACGAGAATTTAATTACGAACAATGTCTATTGCAATTAAACTTATAAGAAACAAGGTTACGTGCTAAATTTTAGATTTTCATCTAGCGAAATAAGACAAAACCACACCATTGAATCGCCACGCTCAGACACAACCCGTTCTAATTTGTGAGGTAAAGGAAAAAGGTGAGTATGGGATATACTTAATACGATACGAATATCAGTATAAACCCAAATAACATTTATCATTTATATATCAAAATAAATCGTACTGTCATATCATATCTTTATAACTGATAAGAACTCATATCATATCATTTATACCATATCATAAGCAAAATATTTATCAATATGAAATAACAAAAATTAAATGGGACAAATACGTCATTATACTATCTTATAACCTTCAAATGCGTTTCAGTCAAAGGAAAAATATCGAGATAAAATATGTACTATAAAGATACGCTCAAAAAAGGGAAAGAAACCGCGGGCTGATGTGAGATAAATAAGGGAGTTGACGCAATCTTTCTTATTAGTTGGGTAAGTGAGGAAAATGGAATGACAAGTGGGTATGTCGAAGCCTTTTTATAGGTAGTTAATTTGAGTGGAAGAGAGAGATACTCAAGGATGGAAACGTATGAAGATATTAAAAAATATACACTTATAAATATACATATATCTATCTATATATACACAAAATTTATATTTAATAAAAGCCAATTAATAACTTACCAACGTGTCACTCTTAAATTTTAAATTCATATTAATTAACTTAACTAAATTACAATTTAAGCCAATATCTTTCAACCTCAATAATTTGGGAACCACTCATCCAAATTAATTTTTTCTCGAGCCTAATATGCATGATTAATTATGATCTATCTATGAGCCCAATATTCATATACTCATCATTGCTCCATTTGAAAAATATTTATTTGTTTTTGACTCTAGTAACAATCATACGACACAACTTTCATTTGCTCCATTTGTCCAAGTGACGGTTGACTGTCCAAACAGTTTGTGTCTTTTGGACACAACTTTTCGGCAGTTGTGTCTATTGGGACACAACCTTTCAACATCTATAAATAGGCCCCTATACCCCGATTTTTATTCATTCCAAAAATCAAAATTGATTTTCTACTCTCCCGAAATTATCCCTTTGTCTTTGCATAATTTCTGTTTTATAATTCAGTCCTTGAAAATTAGTTTTCGTGCATTTCAGTCATCTAGTGTGTGTGGAGAGATCTAAACTTTACGGGTTCGTCGGGTCTTGTAATTTGGAGTACTACTATTACAAGACGAGGTCGTTGTATCTTGGGAAACGAGTGCTGCAATACTGTTAGTACCAGTGCGAGGCATTATCGTTTTAAGGAAAAAGAGTCGAACTCTTGTCTCGACCGTTCAAAACCATCCAAACGTCGTTACTCTGCCCAAATATAAATTACGCTAACACTATTTGCTATTATTTTTCAACATGATTACCCTGCATAGAAGAATAAATGAAAAAAGAAGGAATCAGAATTTTATAAATGTGGATAATCAATCAGCAACTTCTTGTGGGATGAAAATGTCGTAAAAAAAAAAAAAAAAAAAAAAAAAAAAAAAAAAAAAAAATTTAGTACTAATGTGGTTAATATAATGGTATGTGTTTTTTCACATATATATGCAAGCACACGGTTGGTTCAGTTTATTTCAGTTCTTTAAATACAAAATATACCAATGTTCTCCATAGCTTCATCGATCGAGAAAAGGGAAGAGAACCAGCAAACTCATCTCAGCTCCAAAACTTCCATAAAAGAAAGCATAATGACAGTAGATGTTTATCAACCAATCCACTTTAGTGAAAGAAATTCACATTAGAAGTCAAAATGAATGTAAATTACAAAGTATTAATGAATCGATATAAGCAAAATCCGCTAACCAGACTGAATATCTAAGCATGAAGACAATATAAAATCATATTTGATCCATATAATACTCAGTTGACATGTTTACATGTCAATGCGGAGTAGAGTGGAGTGACTTTTAGCAATTTAGCAATTTTAAATACCAACTCCTGTAAAAGTATAAAAAGAGGGTTTTGCCACTTTGCTAGAAGATTTTAACAGATTCTTTGACATAATTTGAGGTGGCAGAAGATGATTTGATAGAAAAGTTGACCGTATTTAAAACAGTCTAATGATATAATGTCATTTAGCTCCTGTTTGATCCCCATTAAATTAAATTACATTACATTTCATTTCTTTCTCTCCTATTTTCAACCACACAATCTTCCATAAAATAACATTACACATAAATCGAAAATTTTTCCTTCTTTTTCAACCACTCATTTTTCTAAAAAACACTATTTCCCCCATTTTCATTTTCAGATAATGGGTATCAAACAGGGGCGTAATATTATGTCAAACTTTACCTCTAAGCATTTGGCAATGTAGCATGATCGTAAAAAAGATGCAATTTCAGTTAAAAATAATTTCAGACATATTTTGGTATAATTGCATCTAGTGCCCAAAACAATTGACAAGATAACTATTTCAAGCAAAATGCAATTATGTATTACAGCAATAGAGTGAACTGCATAGGTTTGAGAACGTTTTATCCAATTATATATACTTCTGTAGCAAAAATTTAAGAAAGGAAGTGACCAGGACATAAAATTGAAAATATTTTGATTGGTCCACATGGCTAAAACAGGCACCAATAACAAGGTAGACTTAGATAGGTTGATAAAATTTCAAGCTGGATATATCCAACGAAGATTAAAAAAATAATAAAAAAAATGAAAAAACAGTCTATAAAAGAGGAAAAAATGGGGCTTAACATAGGAGGATCAAAATTATCATGGAATGGAATCAAAACATAAGGAAAAAAAATGAGAAATTTGATAGAGTGAAATAGCAAAACATTATTTCATGAGTCAGCTCGGAAAAATCTCCAATAAAAGTATTATTTCAAAATACATTTTGACCCAAAAATGGGACTCAAACAGGCACTAAACTCTAACACGCTAGTCTAGAATTTACAATGAAGATGTAGTAAATATTATTTACCTATCTGAAGATCATGCCACGGATGTATAATGGCTACAAAGAAATCATGTCAACTTGCAAAATAGTTGACATGGCATCTTAAAAACGTATATATTAAGGACTCACAATCGGGGAATACATAAGCAAGCAACCCAATTGCAAGTGTGTGAAGATTGGAGAACAAATATGTACACTTGAATAGGTGCTCATTATGTAGTGTAGGTGGTCAAAGGTGTGTGTAGATTATACCACTTAGGGGCTACTTGTTTGAGAAAAAGTCTAGTCCTTTCAGTGACTTTTTGTGTCAAACCTTTAAAAAAAAAAGACAATAAGCTGAGTGCTCATTATGTAGTATAGGTGGTCGAAGGTGTGCGAATTATGATACCATACCTTACATAACTGGTGCTCTAGGAAGCATATACATTCCCCGCAAACGGGAACCTTGTGCACGAAACTTTTGGTAATTTAGGGCTTGTTTGGTAGTAATTTTGAAAATTAATTTTTTGATAGTTTGAGAAAAAAGTGGGTTCTATCTGTAAGAGAAGAAGTAAAAAATGACGGCTTAAATAGTGAAATAACGGTAAAAAAATTAATTTTTTAGGGTGAAAAATCTATACCAAACATGCACTTAGTTTGATCTAGAGCAAAGTAGAAAGCCAGAGTGACAGTCTACAACAACAATTCAATCACACGAAACCCATCTATCTTCATTTTTATATAACTATTAGCCTCTGTTTGTTTCTCATTATTTGTCCATTAAAATGAAAAATATGACTATTATCCATCATATCAAGTCACCATATTTGATTTTCTTTCTCTTGTGTGAAATCCGTAACGACTATATTTTTCATTCTCAATTTTACATTAATGTGTACCAAATGAGGCCTTAATCTATCTGATCATAGATCACCCACAAAAATAAATCCACTCTCAAGAATAAAAGAATCAGATAACAAGTAACATATATATCATTGCTGAAGAGATAAATTAATTTAACTCAATATATCCTGGCATTAAATAATTACAAGCTCGATCTGATCTAAAATTAGCAAATGTACACAGTCGTACGCACTGAAACGAATAATTAAAATTAGGAAATAAACTCAGTGATCCAAAATTTACATATAAATAAGTCTGTACAACATTCGCACGTGGAAATATACCTTGCGGCATTTACAGACGGCCATTGCATTAACCGGCTGATGTAACTACGAATATGAGATCGGAGATGTGTAGGTGGAAATTCACAATGGTCCAATTGGGGGAATTTATTTTTTATTATTATTTTTTTTTTTTTGTGTGATTTGGGAGATAAACTTACTAAATCGAGAATGCAGTGATAGTGATTAAATATTAAAAAAATAAGCATCATATTTGTTTATTTTCGTTTATTTTCCGTGTTTGAGTTCGGTTTAACTTCAATATTTGCAGCAAAACTTCGTTTTGTTTGAGGTTGATCTTTGAACCCTAGAAATTAAAATTTGCTCATAAAAAATAAATGATTATTGAATGCTCGCTCAATTATTCATTAATTTACCCATATGTCGCCTGTACAGCTGGAGTCAATTTTGCCTGTACAGCTAAGCAATAAATTTCACTTAGGTTTTTCTAGACAAAGGCCCTTTCCGTCCAAGGGGCGTGTGTCTTTGCCCAAGGCTTACGTGGCTTTGTCCGTGTAGCAAGGCTCTTTCATGCGAACAACACACACAACGTGAGTGGAGGACACGGACGATGAAAACACAATGAGGAAACTAGCAATATTAATTCCATTGAACAAATACCTTTTTGGCTTCCCCCCTTCTAAACAATCCAGAACCTCCAATTGAATCACAGAAGAGAAGGCAGAGATTTAATGGTTTTTCCAGTCCACCCAAAAGCCTTAATATATCAATTAGAACACCAGCATTTGATACCGACTGGTGGCTATTGGAGAACAATTGATTCAACCGTCTATTTGCTGACAGTTCTTTGTAAATGTGAGAATTATAAGTAAGATTCTTTCCATAATAAACACGATAAGACTTCTTATTGTGGGCATTAGATATGAGTGTGGTGACGAATGGATATATTAATAAATAGTTGAGTGGACATTTATTTTTCAGTAAGCAATTGGTAATCAAGAGTAGAGTTCAATAGACCCCCATTTAATTAACTTTTTGTTTTCTTTCAGTTCAAAAATCCGAATTGAGGCCGGTTTGGTGGCTAGCTTCGGCTTTTAATATAAATGGTGGGGCCGTGGGGATGAGGGAGGGTGAGTTTTTTTTGTAAGACTGGGGATTTAGTATTGGATCAAGAGGGAAGAGTGGTGGCAGCCACGGGCAAACAGAATTTGGGGTGCTTCTGGGTGGCGAAGGTGGAGGGATACTTGTTTGCACAGTTCATTGAATGTGACTCGTTGACAAACAGCTAAAGACGCTTAACCAATTTGCAAAAAATTAAGGAATTCTTTGTAAGATATTAGTAACAAATGTTACTGCTTTGTTTCGTACAAGAAGAATAAGGTGGTCCATGAGTTAACATCGTACTTTTTTGCATCATTTATCTTTTCACTGGACATTATATGCCGTGTAATTGCCCCTTTAATTCCGTGAGACATTAGTTTATTAATTTGAGATGTCTTAGGTTTTCATTAAAAAAATTAAACACCCATTACATTTAACTTTCTAAATGAAACTGCTGAAAATTACTCATTTTACAAGGAAATTTAGAGGGGCAGCTACCATAAACTTAACTCAAAATTAAAACAGTTAAACATCTGAATTAGAGTCGACGATTTTAAAAAATTCTTGTTGATTTTGATTGTGGTTGTAGATGAGAGTTATTTGTAATTCATTAATTGTATTATTCGATTTATAACAAGAAAATTTCGATAACTTAACTTGTAGGGATTTGCTCAATATGAAAATTAGTCATTTTAATTTTTGTTTTAAGTTATGTCAATGTTCAGTTCAATACAATTCTTACATCGAAATACATAGAAACACAATGTTCTTCTAAAAATAAACTTTGAACTGATAATAAATTATCGGATCATGTTAGATGTACCTAATTTTTTTTACCTAATGCTTTACATACACTCACAATAGAGGTGTGGGGACCACATGTTAGGATTATTTTATTCACGCGGGATCAACGTGCTTGTGAGAATAGGTAAACCATTTAGTAAACCAAATTATGTACACTTAGAATTATCCTAAACTAGTGAGACGCACGTGCAAGGCACGTGACATAGTATAGTTGGCTACGTAATAGCATCACGAATGCGAGTGTAGTGGGTCATTAAAAATCTCCTCAAATTCTATCACCTTTAGAAAATGAAGCAACTTCCTGTCATTTTACATGGTAGAAAGGCTGATGAAGCTAGAGAACGAAAAGCTGCTAGAGTAAAATCAATCCCCTGCATTGGCCTTTAGTAAAGAACATGTTTGGGAGTAAAAATTAATCTATCAAAATATGCTCTAATAAGTTCCTTTATCTTGATGAAATATCAAGACTCGGACAAGTCCCTACCTCTTCAGCCATATTCAATTCACAAAAGAAGTTTATCAAAAAGTTGAAATATTGATATTAACGATGACATATCCATAAAATTACAAAATTAACCTTGTAAATAGAACTATCACAAAAAGAATTAACCTTTTCATAGAGCTTGAAATTGCTACCTATAAGTGGCTGTAAGATAAAATTGATGAACGTTGGAGGAACAAAATCCAGTTTGACATCTACGGTTACGATTCTTCTACAGAAATTTAAAAGTATGACAGGAGTTTGAGATAGAGAAAAGTCCTTCAAATTGGAAAGCAGAAATATGACACTATCATTCTAAGGCCCGTTTAAGTCGCATCTTTAAGCAGTGATTTGATATTATTTTCACCACACATTTTTCAATAAAATAATATTACACACAAATTCAAAACTTTGCCTTATTTTTTAATCACATGTTCTCCATCAATCTACTATTCCAAAACACATTCTTTCAAAATAATATGACTCAAACACACACTAAATGTTCAGTATATGCCATGCAAAATAATGAAGCCTACAAGTAGTTCATCACCATTTCCTCATAACTCAAATAAAATCTAAACAAAAAATTCTCAATAATTTCCAATAACATTTACTTTTCTAGCTAAAATCCCACAAATAAAATGAGAAAATCACCACAAAATCAAAGAATACTTAAAAAAAATCTAAGATAAACTATAGTGTGCAAAATATTAGACACTCGAAATTAATCAATTTCATGCATCATAAGGTTATTGTGAACCAGAAGAAAGCATAAACAATTACTGAAGTCTAAGTCAGCCTAGAATCAAAAGTTGGAAGGATGAAGGTTGCTGAAGTAACAGCTCCAAAGCTAAAATGTGTAGGAGGAGAATCTATAATAGGTGCGATAGCAGCTACAAGAGGGGTTGATTGCTGGAAAAGAAAGTTTAATATTTGAAACATTAGGTCAACTGAAAAATGTCAAAACATGGTGAACACACCCATTTACCATTTCTTTTAGGATGATTGTGGTGACATATGGTACCATACTTGCAGCTAATTAATTAAACAACACATTTCAAAGTAATCAGACATCTCACTATTTCTCTCTTCTAAAATGTGCTCCTGTTGTTACTCAATTTACTAACCAGCCAGTCTGTAGGTAAAATGGGCAATCAACTTCACCCTGTAATATGGGCAATCAACTTCACCCTGTAATAAAAGGAATCAGATGAGTAGATAATACATTTAGAGGCAAAATTTTATAAACAAAAAGGAAGGCCTAAATTTTGAACTGGTTGGTAACATATATAGTTCACAAGAAAATTAATAAATTTATTGATTTTAATTCTGCGATAAATTTCCCATGACATCTAAGGAGGAAAGTCCAGTCAACCATCAAACAGCACTAAAAGAATTTGCTAGCCTCCAATATGTAATTTTTAGCAGCCTTGTGGAGACAGAATTATCATAATACCCTCTTTGGTGTTGGATCGAATCATTTTAATTGTCCAATTACCATAGCAAAATAAAAAGGCAAAGATTTCCCCATCACAACTTTATAGTCCCAACTCCAAATATCGAAATATTCACGCTGTCCATGATAACAAGAATGTCTCACGAAACAATGAAAAAATAGAGTATTAAGGTAAGTCAATGTGTGTACAGGGAAAATTTTCTTATTCTCTTGCCTGAGGATGGGAACTACAAGCCTCAAATGCAAAACCGACAAAAATGACAGCTCTTTGAAAAGAGAATCCTAACACCACCATGTTAAAAATCAAACCCAACAGAAATGTATAGGGACTGGCGGCCTAGAGGTAGCACAGTCGAAACTCATCGCTCGACCTCAAGAGCACTAATCGAGTTGAAACCAACAACGAATAAAACAACTTGGATTCAAACAAAACATAAGTATTAATGAGCTAAGGCGAGAGGTTAACATTTTTTTTTTTTTGAACCACACTTCAATCAAATCTGCCATTGCTGGTGAAATCTGTCTCCCACTTGTTCTAAGTTTATGTGACAATGCTGTCTCACAGCTTGTAACAAAACAAGATCAAATCCAGGAGGATAGAAACAGAAATTTGCAAATGAAGATATTCTGGCAGCTTAGTGTTTTAGAATAAAGTCATTTGGCATTTACATTGATAGAAAAATATTAAATATTTATGAAAAAATTAATATAACAAAAAGCAAACATAGTTAAAGAAATAGTAGACTCCTAAAATCCAAAAAAAAAATAAATAAATAAATAAAATATTCAGACATTGTTAAAGAAACAATAGATTCCATAAAATTATCTAATAATAGGAAATTTTAGCTCTCCTCAGCTAGAGGGTAAGTGTCAACTATTCATTTTCACTATCATTTACAGATTATGCTTAATATGATAAAGAAACAAAATAGAAAAATAGAAGTTTCTTAAATGCATTTATATAAAGAAAAACCAAAACACAACCACACTGTTAAGATTATACAAATACAAAATCTTGATCAACTATCCAAATTCAACAATTAATATTTATTTACAAAAATCAATACGTAACACTAATTCACTATAATTAAATTAATTTCATACATTAGTCTTCATGACAATGTAAATCAAATTTAATTTTCTTTTTGAAATGAATACATCAAATACATGATAATATGCCTGTGAAAGAGATGAAGGTACCTGAGTCACATGAAAATGCAATCTGAATACAACTCTGCCCTTGTTCTTCTTGCTCTTCTATCATGCTGACTTGAACATTTTTCACTATTTTACCTCAATCCCACATTATATTTTCCTCAATCAACACATCACTTGTCGGAGCTCTAACAAAGTTCAGATGAAGTTACCTGTGTCACATGAGAATGCAATCTGAATACAACTCTGACCTTGTTCTTCTTGTTCTTCTATCATGCTGACTTGAACATTTTTCACTATTTTACCTCAATCCCACATTATATTTTCCTCAATCAACACATCACTTGTCGGAGCTCTAACAAAGTAAAGATGCTTAATATTTCCCATCTCTAATAAAGATTTAATATAAAATGTTATTTGTTAGATACATTCGACAACATTATATAAAAATGTAGTTTATAGGCATCTTTGAGCCAACTTGGAGGGTGTGGAGAATTTTGACTTAAGAAAGAATCTCTAAGTTAATTGGTTCCTTTCTTGGTAAATGAGTCAGTTACCTATTTGGTTTAGATTTGATTGTAATTGTTTGTTTGTTTTTCTTTCCTAATTTAGATCAAAATATCAATGTGCATACAATGAGTTTAGATGTTCAACGAAAAAGATGCCAGAAAAATATTGTTTATCCTTAACTCCAGCAGCCTTTGAGCAAATTTGCAGTCCATGTTTTTCTTACTTTCTTGCACCAAAGCCTATCTACAATTACAACACAAAATGAGGAGGCCAAAGGTATTAAATGTTATCTGCAGAGACTAACCTCTTCTGGTGTGATTTTGTTCATTAAATCCTTAATTCTGCAAGCAAACTGCAAAAGTTGCTTAAATTGCTGCGTTTAAGAAATTAGCAGAAAAGCACATATATAAAGTCAATTGAGAACAAAACTACAAGAGAAAATTGAATAATTATCCAAAAGCATAATGCACAAAGTACAAAAATCACAAAATGTAATCATTTTGAAGATTCTAATCCTTACATGTCAAAGAAAGTTTGAAGCCGAGAATCAAAACTTTGATCCAATATTTGATCCCAGAATTCTTTCGATTGAGCATTGTTGATGGCGTCGCTGATAATATTCCGACACTATCCAAGTCGCAAAAAAGTTCTCCTGCAAGTTCTTTCGATTCCTTGTTCATATTTTTGATATCACAAAAATATTGCAAGGATTAGATTAAAATCTAAAAAAAGAAGAACAAGAAGAGAGCTTTGACGACCCCAAACACAACACCCAAATGGGAAGTTGCTAACACAAAATGTCTTCATTCCAAAATCCCTACTCTCTTTGAAATCTCCAATTTACTCTCAAAAATAGAACACCCAAAGAAAGAGAAGAAGAATGAGATAAGAAATGAGCTTACCAATCAAAACTTCCCAAACAAATATCAAATTTATACGTCAAATAGAAAGCACTTAATCCAAAGTACAGTGAGAAAAGTAATGAGAGAAAGAGGATTAATTAAAAAAATTGAAAAACGATTATTTGAAAAATGCATAGAGAAACAATGGAGAGAAGATATCCGAGAGAGTGAGAGAGAAGATTGTGGGATACAACTCTGAATAGAAATGGGGAGTGAGATGGTTGCGTGAAAGTAAAAGCAAAATAGTTGGCAAGTTTTTATCGATCGAGGAAAAAAGACCTAAATGGGGAAAAAGAGATTACGGGTAAGTTTTTGAGTGGTTGAAAAACAAGAACTATGTAGACTTTGGAGTTACAAAGTTGATTGAAAAAATAATATTTACACCAATCATTTTAAAACAGATTTTTAAATCATTTCAAATCAATAACTTGAATTTTGCAAACATATTTTGTAATCCAACTTTGTACAAGTAGTTTTATTGGAAAAACAATAGCTAGAGGTGTAAAGAGAGAGAGAGAGAGTGTGTTTCGGGTTACAACGAAAAGGGAGAGAAAAAGAAGGAAAAAAAGAATTAGAATGAAGGTGACACGGAACCCTACGAACAGTGCCAAAGGAAGTCACTCTTTTAGCCCCCGTTTGGCCTCCATTATTTCTCATTAAATTAAATTTTTCTATCTCCTATTTTTAATCACACGATTTTTAATAAAATAATATTACACGTAAATCAAAAATTTATCAATCACTCATTTTTCAAAAAAATACTATTCAAAATATTATAATATTCAAATAATGGGCTCAAACGGAGTCATAGTAATGATTATTAGAAATCCCATTTTCTGTACATTACAATACGTCAAACCATGATGTCGCACTGATAATACACCCTTGCTTACCCACAAAGTCACAGGGTGGCCTCATAGCAGGAATATTCTGGTGTGACGCAAAACCTCGAACCAATGTTCACGTGTCTCAACTTTATATTACTAGGTTGTCTTCCTCGCTCACATTTACTTGTCCCAAACACTCAGGAAGCGCCAAAATTAGCTGCAACTAACACGTGTCTTATGGACGAGGAGAACCGCGTTTGCGTGCCATGTGGTGCGCCAGACACAGAAGATTTCGTTCCCTCACGGTGAAGTTATCAATTGTTCCATTTCAATTATTAAAATAATCACATTAATATATAGCCAAATATTTGAAAACTCAATAAAGATTATTTCGATCCTAGTTTCCTGGACTTAACTTTCACAGTATATATACGAAAGAAGCTTCGACTTGATGATATCCAAGATGATAAGCAAGTACAAAGTTAGGTTTATTAAAAAAGTATGATAAATTTTTCGCATGACGTTAGAATTGTACAATTATTTCAATCAATTTTGATAACCTTCTCGATCTTGTTTTCTCATGAAACTATACAACAAAAGTACTTATATACGTTACGAATGTCGTCCAAAACTTTCCGAGAATAAACATTAAAATTTGATGTCCTTGTAACTAATGTAAACAAATGTAATTTTATTCAGGCTACCTTAGTCTTTTTTACTTATTTTATAGTGCACATGTTGTTAAGAGTTAAAGAATTGATTTGTGTAGACAAGTAATTGTGCAAGCAAGCATGAATACATTAATTATCCATTTAAGGTCAAGATTTTACTTCTTATAACTTCTAGGAGTGTGAATGTACATTAATTTGCCTAATATTTAGTGAAAATTGTAGAGAAGTCCTCAACCTATTTGGCGTATAACTAGTTATTTCTTGATTTCCAACACAAACAATCAGTGGCAAGTGTGTGTTCACTTCATGAAATAGGATCTTTTTTATTTTTATTTTTGGTTCCTTTCAATTGCAATTTTTCATCAAACTATTGGTTTTATTTTGTGGGAGGAGTGTCAATTATCAACTATAGCTAGATAATTTATAGAATTCGCAATCACAAGTATTTGCTTGTAATATCAACATTTAATGCCATGAATAGAATTTGGTAAGCGATAGTTAAAAAAAATGGAATATCGTTATTAAAGTCTTTTAATAAAAGTAAATTACCAAAATTAAACACGAACATACCATATATATATCCCCACACGATCATATTTTTCCATGTGTTAGATTCAGACAATATTTATAGTTGATACTAATAATAATACAAGTATTTTTCAGAATTAGGTCATGCTCACCTCAGTAACTAATAAATATAGACTGTATACAATATAAAAGAGTGATTAATAATTAATTAAATAAATAATACATGTTATTGAGCGTGGTCGATTTATACAAAAAGAATATTTAATTAATTAAATACACTTCATAAAGCTAAACCTGTACAACACCACCACCGTCATTCCTCACGCAACTGCCAACTCCTCGACCCTAACCCTATATATATAAAATACAAAATTTCCTTCAGTTCTTCACCATTCACTTCACAATTCCAAACCCTGGAATTAATCTTTATCCCTTTTTACACTCAACCAATGGCCTTTAAAGCTATGAATTCACAAGCGGCACCATCTGCACCGCCGATGCCGGCGGCACTCAGGTATGAGGAGGTTGACGCTAACAGGACTAAAGGGAAGCGCTCAAAGCGTTCAGGTAACGTGGCCAATCATACGGATGATGATGATGAAGTCTTGGCTTTCAGCCTCATGATGCTCTCTCGGGGCGCCTCCTGCACCGACGGTGCCACCAATCGCCCCACCGTTGAAACGAAAAATGATAATAAGCCTGTTCCCATAACCTCCAAACATACAACGGCGGAGAAAATACACACTGATGAGAAGAAAACAATAAATTTGTCTTCGTCGCCGTCGACTGGGGTGGTGGAGGTGCAGCCTCAGAATCCTTTCAAGTGCAGTGTTTGTAACAAGGCTTTTCCGTCATATCAAGCACTAGGAGGCCACAAAGCCAGCCATGGAATTAAGTACTCCTCTACCACCGCTACTGCATCAAAAGACGGTCACCTTTCGCCGTCAACCTCCGCCATCACCGCCTCTAATACCACTTCCCTTAAGCTAACAGTTAAACTTCACAAGTGCACCATCTGCCACAAAGTTTTCCCCACTGGACAGGCTTTGGGTGGCCACAAGCGTCGCCACTATGAAGGCGTAATTGGAGGCGGTAACAAGAGCAGCATAACCTCCTCCGAAGGCGCAGCCTCCCGCAGCCAAAGCCAAAGCTGCGGTCATGGCCACGGCCACACCGTCCGTGACTTTGACCTGAACTTGCCGGCGTCGCCTGAAATTGGCCTGGATTTGATCCCTTACCGGCCGGAGGAAAAGACTCAATTAATTATTTCCGAACAAGAACAAGAAGTAGAAAGTCCCCTGCCCGTGTCTGTGAATAAATCGCGTTTGTTTCATTGAAGAATTTCTTAGAAAATTGATTAGTACAGAATTACTGGTTTATTTTATTTTATTATTTTTTTATTTAGAAATAGGGTAGTTATATTATCATCACAATTTTTATTTGTTACACTATATTTTAATTACAATTAAACTTCTCAATCTTTACTCGTTGTAGCAATTATTTCTTTACTTTTGTCATCGAATTTTTATCTTCAACATTCTCCTAATTACTAATTGGTACTTCTCATTCTTTATGATGATTTATCTTAAGATATTTTATTTTTATGCTTTGAATTGAGAGAAAAATATACATATTTTTGGAATTTTTGGGGCTGGTTTGAGCATTTTTTTTTTATCAAAAAATACTGTTTTTGTAATACTGTTATGATAGATAATGTGTGATTAAAAAATAAGGAAAAATTTGAATTTACATGTAATATTATTTTATTGAGGGTCTGTTTGTGCCTCTATAATTTAAAAAAGTGTATTATGGATTAATGATTGATGTTAAAATGTGTGGTTAAAAAAAGAAGGAATTTTATTTATTTATGTGTAATAATATTGTAATGAAGAATGTATGGATGAAAATGAATACCATACAAAAAATAATGTGGTAAAATGATTGACAAACAAAATCTAAATATGTGTGTTTGAAATATAGTCAAATCATTGTTGAAGATTACATTTTGATGAAAAATGAGGCTAAAAAAGGGGCTCAATTTATTTAATTTTTTAAAATATGATGAAAAAGTAAGTTATCATATACTATTTCAACGGACTTTTTGAACAACTTGTCATTCAATAAATTGTGTTAATTAATAAAAAAAATGGTGTGTAATTCATCAGGAAAAATCGTTAGAGATATAAATACAATGATGAATGAAGATTGAAAAGTATAATTAAAATGGTGCAAGAAATAAATTTTGCGGTTTGCCTTAGAAATATTATTGGTTTTCATTGTACATGAACTTTCTCTTGATCAATTCTTTCATTCATAGTGTTAAATGGAGATTATCAATTTTGATCATGCGTTATTTATTCTTGCACAATGTTCAAATATAAATTATGCTTGTTCATTAAATTCGAGTTGACTATACAAATCATTTTTATTGCTCAATCTAATTCAAGATTTACAAAAGATAATAGTTGTCATCGGTCGTATTATATTTTATCTACTCTATTTGTTTATAGACATGCTTTATTGAGATTGGACCAATAATTCAACATGATCATATTAAATTAATAAAAGTCAAAATAAATTTTTAGCTTTAGAGTTGAATAAATTATTCTTTTTAAGTTTTTATTACCTAATTTGGTTCGAAATTTATATTATATCATTAACAACTCTAAAGCCGGCCGTATTATTATTATTATTATTATTATTATTATTTTTTTTTGCTTTCTTTTCATGTTTTGCCATCTTTTATTGTGATCCAGTCAATCTCTTAAAACGATCTTCTTATGAAAAAACAAGTTATAAGCCGTTATTATGTTTGTTCTTTAATTGCTAAGTATAATCTTCACTTGTTGATTACTTGATGTGTAGTATTACTGGTGCTATATAGTATTATTCATTTCTCTCTATCTTTATGCTTTTGAAGAAAGATCCAATTTTTTTTTTTAAATAATTACTCTCTAATATTAAACTATTGGATTAAACAGTTTATTTCCATAATAGTTAATTTTTGTACGTTATCTGTCTGTCTGTTCACATGGTAAGTCGTTAAGATGCAAGAAATTGAAACTTTAGGAAGATTGCTTACCTAAGAGAGATCTAATTAGTAATTACTTGTATAACAAATAATTCAATGTGTCATCAAACAGTTATCTTTCGTTTTTCTTAGGGGTTCTTTGGAAGCCATTGAAATATTAATTTAATATTTTCTTTCCATTTTGTTAATTAGTCAACATGCTTGTTTTTTTTGTACTTCAAGTTGAAAAATATATTTAAAAAATCGTTGAAAATACTGTATTATCTGAGAATTAATTAATATATATATTAAAAATAAATCTGTTTAATTTTTATGGGCCTGTTTGAGCCATATTATTCCAAAAAAATACATTTTTAAACAGTGATTTGATATCATTTCACCGCACATTTTTCAATAAGATAATATTACACGCAGATCAAAAACTTTTTCTTATTTTTTAACCACACATTTCCTATCAAAACACTATTCAAGAATGCATTATTACCAAAATAATGTGGTTCAAACACCCCCTATATTCATTTTTAATCACACATTTACATAATAAATTGCACGAGAATTCAAATTTTTTCCCTAATTTTTAACTATATATTTTTCAAAAAATTACTATTGAAAACATTATTTTTCGTCATCACACGTATGCTTAATTTGTTCAAGTCTTTAAGCTTGTGCATTTTTCTTTTCCTAAGCTGACAGTGGAAAGGCTATCAAATACTCATTGGCTACGCAGAATTGTATCCTCGAAATAATTCCAAGTCTCCGACGCCTCATGAAGCGATGTCACAGTGTTGCTCTCATATTCGCTACTCTTCGAGATTGATATAAGATCGTTAGTAGTTGTCACATAGTGTATTACTTAGTTTTTTTCGTTTTTTCCATTTGTTAGTGAGATCACGTCAATATTTGAAAGTAGCATAATTAAATTTATGCATTCACATTGGTTAGTGAGATCACGATTTTATTTTATTTACAAGAACTACTTAATCTTATGTTGACAATTATGTCACCAAATGAGAAATTACCATATTTTGCAAAAGTTTTGACCCAATGTTTTGATGCATCCTTAAATGTGTTCTTATTCAAAATAAAGAAATAGTAGATCGATTTATTCCACAATTAGACAACTTTGCTAGTTCATCTAACTTAATTTTTTCCTCACTGTCTTCGAGTTAATTATTCCAATTGTCACTGAACTTAGGGTCCATTTGATTGCGAGAATGGAATTTGGGTGGAAAGAAAACGAATTGTAGGGAATTGAATTGCCTAGAACTTGTTTTAGTGATAATTATCAATTAATAATATTTGATTGGCATAATTTTTCACCTGAAAATTTTGAAATAAAAGTGTCTTTTAGTATTATTTTTTTTAATGAAAATTGTCAATTTAAGGGATATCCTCTTTTACAATTGTTCTTAAATTTATTTCCATTGTCAAAAATAAATAAATAAATAAATTCCAAGAAAACCAAAAATCATTCAAAAATCATCTATCTTTTGGTGTTCATTTGACTTTGTTTTACATGAAAATTGTCAATTTAAGAGATATTATCTTTTACAATTGTTTCTAGAACTTGTTTCCATTGTGAGAGAGAGAGAGAGAGAGAGAGAGATGGAAAACAAAAACCAAAAAAAAAAAATCAATTCAGGGAAAACCAAGAAATGATAACCGTGTGGGGGCAAAGCAAGAATTCCAATTGCTAAGAAATTTTTTGCTATCAAACAAGCAAAAAGTGGAAGATGGAATTCTTTTTTCTATTTTCTATGAAAAAAATGGTCTATCAAACACAGTCTTACATTTATGTCTCCACTAAAGTTTAAGACATTGAGTTTTGACCATTCAACTTATCTAAACGTTGGATGTTACTTACTTGTATAACTTCTATTTGAAACCTTTAACGGAATTAATGACATGGCTAACGGAATGCACATGTGATGTTCCGTCACGTCATTAAACTTTGATATGTTCGAATTTAGCCATTAAACTTTAAGAAACGTCTTTGATTATTCACTAAACTTTGAAAAAATCTTCTATTGCTCACTAAACTTTGATGTGGTCGAATTTTGGTTATTGAACTTTGATGTAGTTAAATTTTGACCACTAAATTTTGAAAAGTGTTTTCTATTGCTCACAATAAATTTTGATTTAATTAAAATTTGTAGTTAAAATTCGGATTAAAATATGAAATTAATCCAATTTTAACAATAAATTTATTTTGTGTTTCGTTGCAATAGTATTCACTTCCTTTGTATAGTTTGTACGCGTTGTCGATCTCACAAGAATGATTACTCAATAATTCAATAGTTTAATTTAATTTTAATATATTTTTGTAGAATTTTAAGACATTTTCATCACTTACAAAATATAAATTTATTGTGTGTTTGGCTGTTAAATTTAAATTTGAAATTTGCACGAAACCCACAATATATTTGTTTGACCATTGGAATAATTAACTCCACTGTCTTCTCTTCTAGCAGATTATTTATACTCTCTTCGTCCCAATTAAATAGGCTGTATTTCCTTTTTCGTTTGTCCCAAATATATAGGCCGATTTTTTCAATTAGAATATTTTGATTTGTTACTTTACTAAGTTGCCCTTATTTAATTTTCCACGCTTATTATACCAATTCATTGAAGTTATCCAAATGCACATATTTCCCATTTTTTGGAAATTTCATGTCTTCTTCTATTTGTGATTCGTCGGCTTCTCTTTGTCTTCACGATTATATGCCTCGAAGACAAATGATTTTTATCAATGACAGAAGACAAAGAATCATAGGCATATACTCGTGAAGACACAAAGAAGCTGAAGAATCACAAATAGAAGAAGACATGAAATTTCCAAGAAATGGGAAATATGTGCATTTGTCTTCTGTCATTGATAAAAATCATTTGTCTTCAAACTAGTAGCTGATAAACATTTCCAAGAAAGCACAATCATTCACACTACCACCAAATTTCTGCACACGAGTATTTGTCCAGATCATGAGTATGAACTCTAACAATCAACCATGTTTCATCAAAGATACCTGTGCATCAATTTTTTGAAGTGATCTGAACTCGAAGAAAGCGGTAAGGGCATTGCTTGATTTCAATGCTCCGCCGACTGAAGATGGTTACGTTTCCACTTCTCAAGAGTTTCAATGTGTTGTTTCTCGGATGATCAAAATCTATCTACCAAAAATCTACGAGGACCAGATGGATGCTCTTGCTGATAAAGTCGATACTGATATGAAGAAATAGTACATCCAAATTCTTCAAAGCTTGTGCATAACCAATGTTTACAGCATTTTAATGCCAGCTTAGGGATGTGTTGAGCACCAAATAGACATCCTCTTTTTTTTTTTAGCTATAGTACATGCTTCTGGTGTTGAGTAAGTTCAGTTTATACCTACCTTTTTTACGCATGGATGTTGTGGGCGACAT